GGGGGTGTCCGTGCTTGGCCATGCTCCCAGCTGCTGTTCCTGGCAGGGGTCCGGGCCCCCAGCTCGCATGACAGCGCCGGGCTGGGGACAGCTAAATATACAGCCCTGTCCGAGTGACGTGTCCCACCGGGCTGGGGTCATGCACCGGGACAGTGTCAGCCACCCCCGGGGCTGGTATGGGGGTGATGTGCCCGCTCTGACATCTGCCCCATGCTGGGGGGGGACCTGGCTGAGCGGTACTGACCCAAAAAAAGCCTTCCTTGGTGTGTCCCGGTCCTGCGCCTGCCTGTCCCTGCAGCAGGGTTGGGGTCGCGGCTTGCAGGAGCTGCCATTGCCTCTCAGGGAGGGCTGGGCAGTGTAGCGCGGTGGGGGGAGCATGACAGATGGGGTGTCCCTGGGAGGATGGGGATGTGCGTCGTCGGCACCGGGGGTCCTTGGGGTGCTGCTGTGCCGGGAGAGCCCCCTCCTAGCCCTCGTGTTCCCTGGGCTGCACCATGCCTCGGGTGTGTGGGGTGCTCAGCTCCTACGTCTTGGGCTGGGGTGGGTACCAGGCGCAGGCTGGTGTCCGGGAGTGCTGCAGAGGGGCTCAGCCTCCCCTGCACCCCCCTCCAGGTGCGGCACCGCCAGTCGGGGCAGATCATGGTGCTGAAGATGAACAAGCTGACCAGCAACCGGGGCAACATGCTGCGGGAGGTGCAGCTGATGAACCGCCTCTCGCACCCCAACATCCTCAGGTAGGACCTGCTCCCCCGCTGCCATCCCTGTTGCCCGCCTTTTGCCTAACCTGGGGGGTCTGGACGAGCTCCTGGGGCTGGTCCGCGCTGCAGCCACCCTCAGGTCCCCTCTGTCTCGCAGGTTCATGGGGGTGTGCGTGCACCAGGGACAGCTGCACGCGCTGACGGAGGTGAGAGCCGGGCAGCGGCCGGGAGTCTCGGGGTTCCTGCAGGCCTGGGGAGGGGACAGAGATGGCTGCGGGGACACTTTCTCGGCCCGTGGCACATGTGCAGGGCAAGGTCTCCTGGGCAGCTGTGCCGTGGGGTGGCTGGGGGATGCATTGGGATGAGAGATGGCCATCCAGCGTTATGGGAGGGAGGGGGAGTGCAGTGATGTGATGGCCCAGCTCTTCCCATCAGTACATCAACGGCGGGAACCTGGAGCAGCTGCTGGACAGCCCTGTGCCCCTCTCCTGGTCCACGCGTGTCAAGCTGGCCCTCGACATCGCCCGTGGCCTCCGCTACCTGCACTCCAAGGGCATCTTCCACCGTGACCTCACCTCCAAGGTACGGGATGCTCCAAGGCATCCCATTGCTCTCGTTGTCCCATACCCACGTTGCTGGCCCAGGCGTGGCCGGCTGGGGAGCAGGAGGCTGCGCTGTGCCAGGCTGTCCTGGGAGCGGTGTCTGGTGAGGGAGTGCTGGTGTGGTCGGTGTGACAGGGGTCCTGCTGTGCCCCCAGAACTGCCTGGTGCGCTGCGAGGCCAGTGGCTACACGGCTGTAGTGGGTGACTTCGGCTTGGCGGAGAAGATCCCCACTTACAGGTGCGTGGGCAGCATCCACCCGTCCATCCCCATCCTTGGGACTGAGGGGTTTCCAGCCCACTTGGAGCATGAGCTGGGGTGGGGGCTGGACATTTGGGATGCAGCTAGAAGGGCAGGGATGGGGGACAGTGGGGACGGTCCCTGGCAATGGGGACTCATGGGGCAGATGGACACATTTGGGGCTGTCTAGGAGGGGATGGAGAAGGGGGTGGTGTGGGCAGGGAGAGATGAATTTGTGGGGTGCATGAAGTGGAGACATGGAGACGGTGTTTTGGGCTGCCCCAGAGAGAGGACGGGAGGTCGGGCAGGGACAGGGAGCTGCGGGCAGCCCGTGATGTACCACCGTGTCCCCCAGCGAGGGCAGCGAGACGCTGTGCGTGTTGGGCTCACCGTACTGGATGGCACCCGAGGTGCTGCGAGGAGAGATCTACAATGAGAAGGTGAGGTTCCATGGCTGCCGTGCGTGGGGCGTTATCCAGGCCTGCGCTGCCAGCGGTTTGCTGGATTTGCAGCCCTGCGGGCGTTCGGGCACGCGGAGGGAAGGAACGGGGCATCCCTCAGCTGGCGAGGTGGCAGGGCCCCCTGTGTGGCTCCGCAGGGAGGAGGGTGGCTGTGGGTTCACAGGACGGTGGGCACGTTGCCTCAGGGCTGCCCCGTGACCCCTTGCTCTCTGCAGGCCGATGTGTTCGCCTACGGCATCATCCTGTGCGAGACCATCGCCCGCGTCCCCGCTGACCCTGACTACCTGCCCCGCACCGAGGTGACTCCCTGGGACGGGGAGGGATGGTGGCAGGCAGGAGCGCCGGGGCTGGGACCGCTTCACCGAATGAGGGGGACCATCCTGCTGTGCTGGGCAGAGCCCCCCGTGCAGGAGCTGCCCCGCGTCTCAGGGCACGGGTGCTGTGTCCCAGACGCTGCCCGGGGAGGGATGCTCTCTGCTGGTAACCTGTCCTCAGAGCCCACCGTCAGCATGGGTGGGAGAAGGGGACAGCTGGATTCAGGCAGAGAGCAGGAGGTATCTGTGTGCCAGCATCCTGCAGCCCTGCCCCGACTTGGAGTGACCCCAGGGTTCCCCCTTGCTATGGTCCACAGCCCGGGGTGGCACGCAGGAAGCGTGGGGATGGAGGGCCGTGTGGTGCCCCAGTGAACCCAACCTCACTCTTCCTCCTTTCCCTGGCGCAGGCAGGGAGGAGGGTGGCTGTGGGTTCACAGGACGGTGGGCACGTTGCCTCAGGGCTGCCCCGTGACCCCTTGCTCTCTGCAGGCCGATGTGTTCGCCTACGGCATCATCCTGTGCGAGACCATCGCCCGCGTCCCCGCTGACCCTGACTACCTGCCCCGCACCGAGGTGACTCCCTGGGACGGGGAGGGATGGTGGCAGGCAGGAGCGCCGGGGCTGGGACCGCTTCACCGAATGAGGGGGACCATCCTGCTGTGCTGGGCAGAGCCCCCCGTGCAGGAGCTGCCCCGCGTCTCAGGGCACGGGTGCTGTGTCCCAGACGCTGCCCGGGGAGGGATGCTCTCTGCTGGTAACCTGTCCTCAGAGCCCACCGTCAGCATGGGTGGGAGAAGGGGACAGCTGGATTCAGGCAGAGAGCAGGAGGTATCTGTGTGCCAGCATCCTGCAGCCCTGCCCCGACTTGGAGTGACCCCAGGGTTCCCCCTTGCTATGGTCCACAGCCCGGGGTGGCACGCAGGAAGCGTGGGGATGGAGGGCCGTGTGGTGCCCCAGTGAACCCAACCTCACTCTTCCTCCTTTCCCTGGCGCAGGATTTTGGTCTGGACATCACCGCTTTCCGCACCATGGTGGGAATCGACTGCCCAGCGGCTTTCCTCCAGCTCGCTTTCCACTGCTGCAGTGTGAGCCTCCCCTCTCCGCTGCCCTGCTCTGCCAGCTTCCCTGCACCGGGGGAGAGGCAGGGAGCTGCCTTTGCTGGGCTGGGATCCCTGGGGCACTTGGGGGGGCTGCAGACCTGACGGGGAACCCCTCCTGCCCGCAGATGGAGCCCACCTGCCGCCCCTCATTCCTGGAAATCACGCAGTGCCTGGAGGGCATCCTGCAGCACCAGCCGGGTGCCGATGGCACCGGGGCCACCCTCTTCGGCGGTGGGGAGACCCTGCCCGTGCCTGGGACAGCGGCCACGCTCAACGGTACGTGGGTGCCCCGGGGACAGGCCGTAGTGGGGGTGCGAGGAGGGGGGATGTGGGGTGTCCCGTCCTACCCTGGCAGCTGCAGGGGAAGGAAACGAGGGTTGCGTGAGGTCTTCAGGATGGAGCCGGTCGCTGTTGCCTCCTTGGGATGCGCCCCTGGGTTGTTGGGTGCCTGGCACCCCGTGGCACCCCGTGGCAGCGGGCAGCTGGTGACCCGCTCCCGTGCCCGTGCCCAGGGGTAG